TTTCTTTCTGGACGTGTCCTTCAAAACCCAAACCTAATGTCATATTCACTAAGGAGCCTTTTACTGGAAGCTGAGGTAGTTGTGTTGTCTTCCGATTTCATAGAATTTGCATATACATCTTTATTACAGCACTTGTCACATTGATGTAACTTATTGTGTAGTTGCTTTAGCTTTCAAACTGATTTACAGTATATATTTTTTTAAAATCTTTGTATGCTCAGTACCTAGTGTAGTGCTTAACACTAAACAAATTACTATTTGAATGCATTAACCATGGCATATATGATAAGGGATATATGTTACTATATGGTATTTAGTGTTAATTAAATTTTTCTTTTCCCCGACAGCAAGAAAATGTTTATAACTCGTATCATAAGCAAAGGGCTAAACTCCCTAATGAGTAAGGAGCTTCTAGAATTTGACTTTTATCAAGAGACTAAGCCAGATGAGAAAATGGGCAAAGGATAAAAACAGATAAACACAGAAAAGTATAAATTACTCTAAACATATGAAATGCTCACCTTCATTCGTAATACACATTAAGTATACACCAGGATATACTTTCTTTCCTATTAGATTATTGCCTATCCTTTGTTGGTAAGATTGTACAGAAATAGGTACTATCCTCCATTGTTTGAGGACGTACAAAGGAATACAACCCCTAAGGACAGCAATTCTCATTATCTATCAAAGGTAGAAATGCAGTAACTTATTGCTCATTGACGTAGCTCTTCTGCTTGTAGATGTTAACCCAATGCAAATTAGTCATTGTAGTACTATTGGTAATAGCAAAAGATTAGAATTTATCTAAAGATTTAACGTGTGTGTTAAATAAACAACAGTGAAGCTACACAAAGGCACTCGGGTTCATAGTCCCTTAGCCACAATCCGGGAGTCTGGAAGGGCCTGGAAACCAAACTGTTGTTTTGTTTTTGTTCTAAGTTCAGTGCTTAAACTTATTTGATGACAGATGCCGACTCACCTGATACAGTGCCCACACTGTGTCTTGGTGTGCTTACTAGGCATTCCTGCCTGTTTGCTGGTACTGGTGTTGTTGTTGTTTTATTACTTTGGGTTTAATTGCATGTGAAAATATCACAAATAGCTTACGATAACCTACCGGAAAACAGTGAACAAGAATGGAACATCTGTCATTAGTTACAGCACAGAATATGAAATTGTCGTGGGAGCTTGTGCCTGGAGTGTCTGTGTGACATCTTGCTGAAGGAGACAGCACAGGAACTGCCACCATATGTGAGATCATTTGATCTCTGGTAGTTCTCAAAGGTTTTGTTTATTTCACCTTAGAGCTTGTGCAGTATGATTAGATTACTCTTGTCCCTAGTCTGTGTGTCAAGAAGAATCATAGTTTAATATCATAGCTGCTGGAGGCACTGTTATCAGTTGGCCCTAATAAGAGCCTGACCAAAAGTAATAAAAGAAAACAGAAGACTCAGACGTCCATAGGAGGCTTTGAAAAGCTCTCAGATTTTCCTGGGATTCTAGAATGATCCCGAGAAGCAGGGCTGTGTCCATAACCAAGAAAGATGAGAGAAGGTGCTGACTCTAATCTTTAGTTGACCTTGAGGGTTTGTGCAAGCAAAACGCAAAGGTTGGGCAAGAGTTGTAGCCTGTCCACAGAAGTATTGAAAACGGCCCAACACACAGCACCTCTCAAAGGATAGGAGACTGAACCGGTTCAAGGCATTTAAGAAAAGTTTTCCAGTCATTAGTAAAAGACTTCAGTAGCTGCACATAACAAAGGGTACAGGGATTATACAGTTGTCCAGGAAAGTCAGTTCAATGCACAGTGAATCCCCAGGGCAGAGGGTGGGACATACAGAGGATCTGATTTCCAGAGTTACTACATCATAGTATTTAAAGTGTTCACTTTTTCACAAAAAAATTATAAAACACAAAGAAACAAAATATGGCCCAAACACACAAAAAGGCAATGAATAGAAACTGTCCCTGAGAAAGCCCAGATGTTGGACTTACTGGACAAAGGCCCTAAGTCACGTACTGTAAACATGTTAAAAGAGCTGAAGAACAGTGTGTGAAAATAGCTAAAAGAAAGTTATGTGAACCGTTTCCCACCAAGTAGAGAATATCAATGAAGTGATAGAAATTATGAAAATAACTAAAATTTAAAATTGACTGTTTAGCTTAACAGCAGATAGAAGCTGACAGAACACAGAATTAAGAACCTGAATATAGGTCATTTGAGAGTCTATAGTCAGGAATAGAGAGAAAAGGGAATGAAGAAGAATGAGCAGAGCCCCAGAGGTTTGCTGGACACCATTGAGCATACCAGCATAAGCAGAATGGGAGCCCCAGAAGGAGAAGAGAAAAATGTGTTGAGGATGCACATTAATAAGTAGGGGCCCCAAACTGTCTGAATTTGATGAAAAACATTAAACTGCACATCCAAAGAGCTCAACAGTAGGGGACGATGTTTCTCTTTGTGGTAGTGAAAGGTTCTGAAACTCAACAGTGGGAGTGATTACATAGCTCTGAGAATAAGCTGAAAAACTAGTGAATCCTAATCTTTAAAGTGGTGAATTTGATGGTATGTGAATTGTACCTCTAAAGATTATTTAATTAAAAACACAAAAAGGAGGATGTTCTTTACGTAGTACAGATGGAAAGATCTCCAAGATACATATTAAGTAAAAGAAGAAGGGGACTTCACCATGTACAGAGCAAGCCAGGTTTGTAAGGAAAGAGGGAAAGAAAACTTTGTAGTTGTCTGATCTGACATTACGAAAAGACTGCAGGATTCACAAGAAACTGACAAATATGGTCACCCAGAGAGCTGGAGTGAGATGACAATTGTATTTATAGATTTGTGGGTGAAAGCAAAACTTCTCCTTAGTCTTTTTATATCAGTTTCTCATATTGAACTATTATGATTTTATTTCATTCCTTTTTCTTTTTTTGAGATGGAGTCTCACTTTGTTGCCCTGGGTAGAGTAATGCTGTGGTGTCATAGCTCACAGCAGCCTCAAACTCCTGGGTTCAAGTGATCCTTGCCTCCCCCCAGTAGGGAGTAGGTGAGACTAAGGCACCCGCCATAACACCCGACTGTTTTTTAGAGACAGGGTTTCGCTCTTGCTCAGGCTGGTCTGGAACTCCTAAGTTCAAACAATTCACCCACCTTGGCCTCCCAGAGTGCTAAGAACCATGGGAGTTTATAAGGTGACTTTCTAAATTCCTATGGCGATTTAGTGTTATGTGTGGGGGGGGACTCTGGGGGAATCTAGTGGAGGAAATAGGCTACAAATAAATCAGTAAGTATTTCCAGAATTTTCCTTTCCTATGAGCTATTTTATTTCATAAGTTGATATTTACTTACACAGCTCAATATGTAGGAGATAAAGGCCATTTGAATTCCCGAAGTCTATTGAGAATAGGCAGCTTGCAGACTGGTTTTTTGTTGGTGGTGTTTAAAAATCTCAATTACAAATGAGAGTATCTTATAACTTAGATGCTGAACACATTTTCCTCTGCAAACAGTTCAACAAAGAGTGAGTGAGAAGATCATAAATGATAGATTCCACGGTCAGATCAAAAAAGCTGCCTGTAATGTCACTGGACTATACTTTAACAGGACCATCATGAGTATAGAACAGACTTAACTATTTTTTTTTTTAATTGACTGAAGTTTTTTAAAGTTGAAGCATCTGGAACAGGAGTTGGCAAACTTTCTGTAAAGGGCCAGATAGTAAATATCTTTGGCTTTGTTGGCAATGACTCCACCCTTCTTTTGTGGTAGAAAAGCAGCCACAGACAATGTCACTATCTGTGTTCCAATAAAGCTTTTTTACACAAACAGGCTGAGTTTGGCCTGTGGGCTGCAGTTTGCCAACTCCTGATCTAGAATATTGATCGGGGAGAGAGAAATAAATCTGTTCTAGTTCTTAATTCCAAGAATTCTTCTTGGAGGCTGAGTGCGGTGGCTCACACCTATAGTCCTAGCACTTTGGGAGACTGGACGTAGGTGGATTGCCTGAGCTGGGAAGTTTGAGACCAGACTGAGCAAGAGTGAGACCCTGTCTCTAAAAATAGGCAGGTGTTGTTACATATGCCTATAGTCCCAGTTATTCAGGAGGCTGGGGCAAGAGGATCACTTGAGCCCAAGAGTTTGAGGTTGCTGTGAACTGTGATGCCATGGTGTTCTACTGAGAGCAACAAAGTGAGACTCTGTCTTTAAAAAAAAAAGAAAATACATCTTGGTTCAGTATACTAGCTATACCTGTAATCCTAGCATTCTGGGAGACTGAGTTGGGAGGACCTCTTGTGCTTAGGAGTTTGAGACCAGAGCAAGCCCAAGACCTATCTCTACTGAAAATAGAAAAAATAAGCCAGGAGTGTTGGTACACATCTTTAGCCCCAGCTACATAGGAGGTTGATGCAGAAGGATCACTGGAGTCTGGGAGTTTGAGGTTGTTGTTAGCTATGATGATGCCACCACACTCCAGCCTGGGCAACAGAGCTAGACCCTATCTCTATTTAAAACAAGAGAATACTTCCACTTTTGTTCAGGGAGTGTCATAAGAACCAGTAGTCCCTGATTTCTGTGATTGTGTTGGCAGCATTGACACCTTTTAGAGTTTATCTTCTTTTATCTTAGTTTGTGTCTGAAATGAAAATCTTGAAATCTGAGTCCTTGAAGGAGAGAAATGGAGCTGAAACTTGAAGCACTAAAATGCACATAGGTCTGGGCTTAGTAGCTTGATGACCTTAGAAAAAAGTGTTCTGGCCTCAGTTTCTCTAACTGAGCTTTAGTGTCCCTGTACAGGATATGAGGAGATTGGACTCGACATGGTATTTAAGTTGCTTCTGGCTTTAAAGACGGCATTCAGAGGATTCTGGTAGCAAGCGACTTCTACCACATCTGATTGTTCTTAAATCAGGAACTTAGATATATTTTCTAAAAAATTTTTGCTTACTAAATTGTAGAGATGGTAAAGTGACTGTTAAATGTGTTTATCTTTTAGGGGCTAAGATGGATCTTGTACTCAGTGTTGCTGATTATTATTTTTTTACGCCATACATATATCCAGCCACGTGGCCAGAGGATGACATCTTCCGACAAACTATCAGTCTCCTGATTGTAACAAATATTGGTGCTTATATCCTTTATTTCGTCTGTGCAACACTGAGCTATTATTTTGTCTATGATCATTCATTAATGAAACATCCACAATTTTTAAAGGTAAGAGATTTTCTTACCTATTTTCTAACTATTGTTATAGTAAAAAAAGCTGTGAGATTTTCAAATTAAACTAGTTATACATAATGATTTATTTTTTTTATTTTTTTTTTTATTTTTTTTGCAGTTTTTGGCCAGGGCTGGGTTTGAACCCACCACGTCTGGCATACGGGGCCTGTGCCCTACTCCTTTGAGCCACAGGCGCCGCCCTAATAATTAAATTTTTTTGAGACTAGCCGCAAATGAGTTAGATATTTTTGTGAGTACTAATCCCTCTCTCCTTCCCTTAACTTAAACAAATTTTTTTTTGTAGTTTTTGGCCAGGGCCAGGTTTGAACCTTCTACCTCTGGTATATGGGGCCTGCGCCCTACTCCTTGAGCCACAGGCACCGCCCACAAATCTAGCTTTTTTTAAAAACCCATAAATCTGGCTCGGCGCCTATAGCTCAACCGGCTAAGGCGCCAGCCACGTACACCTAAGGTGACGGGTTCGAATCCCCAGCCCGGACCCGCCAAACAACAATGACGGCTGCAACCAAAAAATGGCCGGGCGTTGTGGCGGGCGCCTGTGGTCCCAGCTACTTGGGAGGCGGAGGCAGGAGACTTGAGCCCAGGAGTTGGAGGTTGCTGTGAGCTGTAATGCCACGGCACTCTACCCAGGGGGACAGCTTGAGGCTCTGTCTCAAAAAAAAAAAAAAAATAAAAGAAAAACCCATAAATCTAGTATCTTATCTTACTAGGTACATAGAAGAGAACATCTATGCTGATATTGAATAAATTACACATTTATGTAATTATTTTTAATCTGTGACTTTTACAAACTGAAATATGTTTTTACCGTGTTTTGGATTTTTTCTAGTCAGGAGATTCAAACTCAATTGTAGAGTGGTTTAGATATTATGTTTTCATTTCAGTTATTCATATTTGTTACTTTAAGGACCGATCAGTCACCAAAAATAGGATGAGGATGGAAGTTAATTATGAAAGAAATGATTATTCCATCATAGAAGTTTTGAAGAAAGATCTTGTGGGAAGGAGAAAATACTTCAGAATTTAACATTTATTTCATTTGCTCAGTACAAAAGGAATGTCTTTTTTACACGTCCATGTATTAAAATTTTAATATGAACTGTTTGGAGGGAAGCTCTTTCATATAAAAGAGATTTTAAAAATCCAGTTCCAAACAAGTTTATGCTAGTTTTCTGCAACATACATTTTGTGATTTTTAAGGATTGGAAATTTCATTTTCAGAATCAAGTCTCTCGAGAGATTAAGTATACTATCCAGGCCTTGCCGTGGATGAGTATTCCTACTGTGGCCCTGTTCTTGCTGGAGTTGAGAGGTTACAGCAAGTTGTATGATGACGTAGGAGAGTTTCCAAGTGGTAAGTAAGCGCCATAAATGGCAACAAAAGTGGTCTGGGTTTCTGTAAAGAACCAAATGTCCAAATGTGCCTCTTTTTTCTTTCATTTCTTCTCTTCTCTTTGCTTTTCTTTATTTTTTATTTTTTAATTTTTTTGAGACAAAGTCTCACTCTGTCTCCCTGGGTAGAGTGCCATGGTGTCGTAGCTCATAGCAACCTCAAACTCTTGGGCTCGAGCAATCCCCTTGCCTTGGCCTCTCGAGTAGCTGGGAGTATAGGCACCCGCCACAACAGCTGGCTATTTGTAGAGATGGGGTCTTGCTCTAGCTCAGGCAGGTCTTGACCTCCTGAGCTCAGGCAATCCACCCACATCGGCCTCTCCGAGTACCAGGATTACAGGCATGAGCCTCTGTGAGTCTGGCCCTTTTTTCTTCTTTTAAAATAATTGCATATTATTCTGATTTTTAAAAAGTGGTCTATTTCCTGTGTTCATGTCTTGTCACTTCTATACCTTTCTTTAGTTTTGTTTGTGAATTTTAAGTCTGTTGTACATGAGGTGGTGCCTGAAGGAAGACTGGAGTGATTGGCTCTACGGCCCAGCATTTTTCTCTTTTTGTTACTGAACTGAAACTTCTAAAACTAATAACAGCAACTTGAATAGTACAGGTAATTGTTGAAAATCAGAAAATAAAGATTAAAAAAAATTCTCATCCTGCTACTTAGAAACCGTGAATCTTTTGGTTTATATCCTTCCTTTTTCTATGCCTGTGGACTTCACTGTTTACACAAATGAAGTCCTGCTGTGCAGACTGATTTGGATTCTGGGGTTTTTTTCTCTCGGCAAAAGAGAGAAATATGAATATGCCCATATTTTCATGTCAGCAAATATTGATGTTATGTAATAGTCACAGCTTTTTATTTTGTGGACATCCATAATTTTGGGGAAAGATCCCTAAATGTTAGACCTTCAGGTTGTTAGAATCATTTTTTCTGTGATAAACAGTCCTGCACTGACTACATCCTTGTAAATTGAATTTTAAGATACAGTTTTAGTATCTAGTATATAAAGTAAGAGTCATGGTACTTATTCAGTGTTAATATGTGCTAGTGACAGTGTTAAACTCTACCCATGTGTCAGTCCAGCTTGTCTACAACAGTTCTATGAGGTAGGTATTATTACTATGCCACTTTGATAGGTAAGTAAATGCAGCATACTTACCTCAGTAACAAATTGGATCTATGACTTGAGTGATCTCAGGTTTACCGGCACCAATACCCAGGAAGGAACAAAAAATTATATATTAGGGTGATGAATTAGCTGGGCCTTGAAAAGTAGGTAGGATTATGAGTAAAACTAAGGGGAGGGAGGGCATTCTAGAGTCTTGGAAAAGTAGGAGGAGAGGTACAGAGGCAAGAGCTCCAAGCCATGGGGGGAACATTGAGTATCCAGCTCAGTTAGAGCTGAAGTACAGAATGGTGAGGTTGGAAGTAGCAGAATGGGGTGAGTTATGGAGTGAATACTAGGCTTAAGGTATTAGTGGAAAATAAAGTTTTAAGCAGGGAGAGAATATGTCAAGATACATTTTAGGAAGAGTAACATGAAGGAAATGACCTCAGTAATTTAAATAGTAAAGATGTCTTCAGAGTATCCTCTTCTGTCTCATCACCCTCTTTATAGGTTAATTAAAAAATACCCACCCGTGGCTCAGTGAGTAGGGTGTTGGCCCCATGTGCCGGAGGTGGTGGGTTCAAACCCAGCCCCAGCCAAAAACTGCAAAAAAAAAGTCCACTCTAATCCTGGGAGCCCAATTTTGATGATTCTGTTTGCTGTTGTCTCTTCTAGGCTGGTTCCAGCTCGTGGTCAGCGTGGTGTCTTTCCTCTTTTTCACTGACATGCTGATCTACTGGATTCACAGAGGCCTTCATCACAGGCTGGTATACAAGGTAGGGTCGTTTGTAGGGGAACAAAAAAATACTACACAGTTCAGCAACATCTGATTATAAATTCTCTTCTCCATTTCCAAGAATTTCCTCTCACTATATTAAAGGCCAAAGTAGACATAGGCATGACAGGTATTATTAGGTTCATTTTGGCCATATTCTTTCTACATCTGCCTTAAAAAAGAAAGGCAGTTTATAAAGTGATTTTGCTAATTTCAAAAGGGTTTTCTAGTTAGGTGATTTCCCCCACATGAGTATGGAAAGCTGAGTTGAATGTTGTACCGGGTAAAGTTTTGTGGTGCTTTACAAGGGTACATGTGAAATTTACTAGGAGTAGAATATAAATGTCTTAACACAATAACTAAGGAAATGCCGTGAGGGCTGTTAACCAGCTGGATGAAAATATTTCAGATTGTATATAAAGCCAGCACATTGTACCCCATGATGGCATTAATGTACCTAGCTATGATTTAATTTAAAAAAAAAAAGTTTTGGGCGATGCCTATGGCTCAAGGAGTAGAGCACCAGCCCCATATACCAGGGATCGCAGGTTCAATCCTAACCCTGGCCAAAACTGCAAAAAAATAAAAGTTCTGTGGTGCTAACTGTGTCCTTTTTTCCTGTAGCGCATCCATAAACCTCATCATATTTGGAAGATTCCTACTCCATTTGCAAGTCATGCTTTTCACCCTGTGGACGGCTTCATGCAAGGTCTCCCTTACCACATATACCCTTTTATTTTCCCATTACATAAGGTGGTTTATTTAGCTTTGTATGTCTTGGTGAATATCTGGACAATTTCCATTCATGATGGTGATTTCCGTGTCCCCCAGATCTTAATGCCATTTATTAACGGCTCAGCTCATCACACAGACCACCACATATTCTTTGACTGCAACTATGGACAGTATTTCACCCTGTGGGATAGAATTGGAGGCTCATTCAAAACTCCTTCCTCCTTTGAGGGAAAGGGACCCCTTAGTTATGTGAAGAAGGTGATGGAAGAGAAGGGCAACAGCCACGCAGACAAGGATTGTAAAAATGAAAAATTACTCAATGGAGAATTTATGAAGACTGAGTAGATTATTGCCCAATTCTTCTTAAATGTTTTTAATAAGGAAAAACACTCTGTGTACAGCCAAGATACATAGCATTGATATCATTTGAAAATCAGCCTTTTGAGTACTGCTGAGGAATGATTGTTAATGTAATAAGAAGATGAAGTGAATACCAACATTTTAATCGTGTGCTTAAAACACCAGATATTTATCCCAGGGACAACTTGTGTTTTCTAGCCAGCATATCTGTTTGTACAACCTCAACAGCAATTTTAAATAAAATAGAGAACAAGTTATTAAGGATACTGGGATTTATCCTTTTGCCTTAATCCATCCACATTCATTAGGAAAAATTTATTGTGCTGAATAACACCAAGACTAAGAACCATAACCAAGAAATGCTAATATAAGATCGTTCCTTGTTTCTGGAATGGTTAATTCTTCAGTATTGGCAGGATGATGACTGTTCATAGTGCTTTGGAAGTGGAAACATCAGTGTGAAAACAACTTGGATGTATTAGCCATGTAAATGACCTAATGGATAGCAGGTGTCTGAAGACTCTGATCTACACTTAGGAGGCTCATTCTTGAGATATTATCAAATACTACATTTTACTGATGAATAAGTAAATTAGAATTGGAAAAATATCAATACTACCATGAGTTAGTACACATCTGGGTTTATGTAACTGAAGGTTTTGATGGTTATTGTTTGAAACCATGATTTAATAATTATAAGAATATGTGATCCTGCGTATATTTAGGAAGAGAAATTTGAGGCCCAGGTAATATATTTGGTACTTCTGATTTTTTAATTAATGCACTGCACTTTTGATGTATCAAAGTTACAAGCCTGTAATGTTTTTATAACAGGAAATAATTGTCAAATATTTGGACTGCTCACTGAAGATTTGTTTTGAAATCTTGTTCTCCTTCCCTTTTCCCCACTTCCTCTGCATAAAGATTTAACAAATACTTCCCTGAAGAAATTCGTGTTATAAATATATTGGGGAAATGTGGTTTGTAAAGGCATTCTATAAGCTATTTATGTAAAATAAAATTTGATCATTACTGTTATTAAACTATACCAGTTCAATACTGTAATAGCACAAAGTATTCTCTGCACAGATTTTTTTTTTTTTTTGCCAAATTGCACCCACAGAAATGATGTGACTGTTATGTTTTAGAACATCACCAGATAACCAATGTCAAGGAGAGGAAGAAGCAGAGTATCACGTTCTTTTTATATTTTACATTTTTATTAGATTTGACTGTTTTAGCAAGAAACCCGTCATCAAACTTAATGCCCAAGATCTAGAAGAAAATGTATTTTCTCTTTGAGTTATTGTTACATAGTGTCTTACTTAACTGTACCTGTTAGTATTTTCTAACAGATAAATTCAGTTGAGTGCTTTCCACTAATTCCCCCCTGCCTAGTACTCTATTTTGCCCATGAAAAACAGGAAGATTAAGGAGAAGTAAACTTTGTTTCCTAATAATAACTGCTAATATTTACTGAGTGTTTCTTCTTTGCCAGGAAAGTAGGCAAACTTTAACATGAAAAAAACTAAGACCCAGAGAGGTTAACTATTCCAAGGTTTGTTTCTCTCTCCTGTGAAGTCCACTGTGGACACTTGTGGTCAGGGGGCAGCTGTCCGTGTTGTTGTTCTGTGACCCGTCGTGGGGTTCTGCCTTTCAGTCCTCGAGCCCTCTTTGTTGGAGGAACACATAGCGAAAGAAGGAAAAGATGGTGCATGGATCATTGTTGCGGTTCAGGCCTGGAAGTGGTACATTATACCTCCTGTCCACAGTCCAGGTAAAACTCAGTCATCTGGCCTACCTAATGGGGAGATTCTGGGAAGTGTGTTTAGCTGTGTGTCTGGGAGTAGAGGACACATTCTCTTGAACAGCAAGCCACTTGGCCACTTGGCCACATCCATGTAGTTTATTCCCCTCTTCTGGAGGACAATGAAGGAAATAAAGATGTTGTGATGGTGAATTAGCTGCAGAGTATTTCAAGTTATCCACACGCTGGTTGTCTTAGTGCTTTTAACGTCACAGCTCCAATGTGAGTGTTCAGGTTTCCTCCACATTCTTGTTCCTGTGTAGCTAATAAAGAAGAAAGGACATAAATTGGAGGGGGAGGCTTCCTCAAAAGCGTCAGGAATTAGTCTCTGCCCTCTCAGCCTTCTCCGATTCTGGTCATCTGAAGCAGTGTTGTGTTGAGTAATCCCAACATTATTTTATAACAACTACCACATTCTCTGTTCTCTATTAGGGGAATTCAGAGAATATTCACGGAAGTGAGGATCTAAATTCCCTTCTGCAGGTGACTTTGAAACCTTTTATAGTTATGGGACAGAAGGTGAAGAGCAGTAGAAATTGGGAAGATGGTGCAGGAACATGTTTTAAAAACCTGGGGTTACTTCGCATCTGCGTCTTTCTTCCTGTCTCTAAGACTGAATGCTATGAACTTGCTACTTCTCATCCCCCTGTATCTTGTTTCTTTTTTTCTCATCTTTAAGTCAGGGACAGATGTGAAAGGGAATTATGAGCTCTGTTTTTGACACATGGAGTTTGCAGTGCAGATGGATAACATAGAGATGATGTCTGGGAGGAGGATGGAAACCAGAGAGATAACGCAAAACGAAGAGATTTGGGATTAAACCAGACAGAAGAAAAGTTGTTTGAAATCATGATGTTGCCACAGAGAGCATAGAAAAAAAAAATACCCAAAGAAAGTAACCAACTGGAGAGCTGCTGTGGTCTGAATATGTCTCCTAAAATCCTATATTAAAATCTGATTGCCTCTGTGATAGCATTAAGAGGCAGAGCCTTTGGGACGTGATTAAGTCATG